TTAACTAGCACATACTTTGACTTTGCCATCAATTTCTCCAGCAGGTGAGCCGTGCTCTTCAAGAATCCTTTTGGCCTGTAAGCAAATCAATTAAACAGAATTTAGGAGTAAACTTTCAGCATTACACTTAGGTATTCAGTCAACTTTAGCAAATGCTGCGTTTTTTTGACCATCATCCAAAGAGATGAATGCTTTCTCAGAAATGTAAATTAAACGCTTTTATTTAAACCTTTTAAGTTAACAAAACCAAACTCACGCTGACTACTAACTTCCCCTTGGATACATGAAAGGTATCTCAAATCTACTAAGTCCAAAACAAAAATCTTGATTCCCTTCCTTCCAAAATGCCACCCTCTTTAGTCTTCCCAATCTCAGCTATTGGCTCTTCATTCACCTAAATGCACAAGTCAGAAAACTACGAACCAGCCTGTGCTTTACTTTTATTATCCACATCTCAACCATTACAATGGGCCTTATTGAGCCAATCATCTAAGTGCACATATCTGCTGTTGCACACTCAAAGCTGAGACACATCATTTCTTCCCTGGACTACTGAAACAGCCTACAACTGGTCTCTCTGCTTCTATCCCTACTCTCCTACCATTCCTGTTCAATGTGGTATCCAGACAAAATTTTTAAATTGTACTTGAAACTATATCACTCCTCTATTTCAAACCTTCCTATGTGTTTCCATTAGGCTCAGAACAAAAAAAAAAACAGAAGGGCCTTACCAGTTTCTAAGGCCCAGTAATTTGGCCGTACCTACCTCTGTGACTTCATTTCCTACACTCTCACCTCATTTAACATGTTCCTGTCTCGCTGGCCTCTCTCTCTCTTCTCCAAACTGCTCAATCCTGCGATACAGTCTTTACACTATAGGTCTCTCCTCCTTCATCGTCCACGCTCTTCCCCTTCATCTTCATTATAAGCTCCTTGTCTTTCACGCCTTAGCTCATATTCACCCCTTCAAAGAACCTGCTGAGATTACCTATCTACAGCAGCCCTTCCAATCATTGGTTAAGGCATTATATTGTTTTAAACTTCTAGTTCTAAGCAATGGCTGAAATCTGAAACTTATTATGTCTAGGATAAAAACATTATAAAAAGTGTGAAATAGACGGCTTGACTTTATCTACATTAGATTTAAGGAAGAAAGGTTTTCTCATCCAGTTTTGTATCTTGACCTGCTTTCCCTTTCATTATTAGAGTCAAGAAAAGGTGCAGGTCTAGGAAAAAGCCTTCTGAAATATCTCAAGTTGAGGGGGAAAAAAACCCCTTCAATTTCACATGTAATCAAGACTAATTTAACAGGTTATAAGAAGGTAGAGGGACATGCAATCAAAGTCCTAACTGATAAATAAGCATATATGTTGGCTGAGGTGATATATATATACCCAAGGAATCTACTGGGGTTGGCAAGAGCTGTGGCAGGCAGCTTGGTCAAGAACCAGGTCCCTGTCATCCTCTCTTCTCTGGAAACCAAAATAATGGGAACTGGATATGTGGCAATGAACATTAGCACCAATTCCTGTCTGCATTCCTGATCTGCAGCCACTGCTGTTACCAATGAGATTCAGCATGTGGCTAGCATATGTACTGATTTATAATCTGATTAGCTGGTATTACTTTAAAACTACTTTTCTGAGGGCAAGTATAATTTTAGTTATTAATAATAATCCAGAATATATTTATATACTAATTATAATTACTTCTAAAATCAAAATGAATGTCATTTACCTCTTTGGCATAAGACTGTATCACTCCAGCTGCTTCTATTTTCCTTTTGCATCTCTGTTTAACTGTCATACTATTATTATCCAAATCTTGCATAAGCTTAAAGAAAGCCAACTCATTAAACAATACTTCAGATATCTCTACAAGAAGGTCTTCTCCACAGTCTTTCAGTTTTCTGCCAGCAAATTTTGCCAGTGAATCCTATTCAAAGATAACCAAATCACTTTAAGATTACAGTAAACTTCAAATGTGGATAGAGCAATACAGATGATTAACAAGTCTGAATTATAATAATCATCTTGTGAAAAACAATTTTATTACTTTTTAGTATTGGAAAACTTTAGTTCTATTCAAGTTGAAATACAGTATCATCAAATGAAGATGTCTGCTTGCTATTTGAGACATTTTTTAAAATAAAACCACTTTTCTTGTTCTTTCTTCCTAAAAATAGGGACTATAGGCAAATAACTATGGTGTCTGGTGTTCCCTCCCCTCCAAAAATCTACCTTATTGAGTACAATTATGGGAAGAAGTACAAATGCTGGGGGCCTTGTGAAAAAAAAAATCATTAAACAGATTTCATAAGAAAAAAATGAAAGCAATTTAAGCTCTACCTCATGTAAAACTTTCAATACTCTGGGCAAGGTTTAATGTACACCACTTTTATTCTTCACGTAGGATCCCTTGTGAAAAAAAATCAGGAATGGGGTAAAAGAAAAACAGTCTGATTTTCTGAGNAAAATATCTTCTAAGTGTTTCAACGAGGCTATGGTTGCAATTTCAAGATGGCTAAGTAAAAAGGTTTCCTCTTCTTAAACAACCTCAAGATAACACAGAAAACTGGAATATTATAGAGGCCAATATTTTTTTTTTCAGATCAGACACTATCTTAAATAAAACTTACATCTATTTATATGTAGATGCTAAATGAGTGGAAGAGGAACTGACCAGGAGGGGATAAAAATGAACAAATCTAAGTACCTTCAGCAGTAGGAGAAAACAAAAACTGATTCACGTCATAAGGAAGTGCCAGACTCTAGAAAGGAATGTATACTGTGATGGGTGGGAGTTGGTGATGAAAAGGGGGTGGTGGGTATCGTTTGAAGCTGTTTAAAAAAAAAAATGTGGACACCTAGGTTCCCTCCCCCAACTTCAACAGAAAATGGGAGATTACATTTTGGAGAAATTGAACTAGTAAGTCTCAGGTAGGGCTGGGGTAAGGAAAGCATGAATGAGGACAGGGTACTGTCATACTGAAAACAGAAGGATTCAGTGGAAGTCTGTATAATGGTGAGACTCTCAGCCCCATTCTCACATCTGGCTCTAGAATACCAGCAGCCAAGGGTCCTTAGAGGACCCTTTGGAGAAACTAAACTACCCCAGAGAGAAGGCCAATAGGTATTGCCATCTGGGAGTTTCTATTAAAAAGCTAACTGTCTACCAACTGCCCTACAGTGAAGCCCAAAAGAACCCCAAGCAGCTTTTTGGTGTATCATTCTTTAAAATAAGCACTGAAGGTACAGCAGACATTTGAAGAAAGCCTCCAGATGGTAAGACAAGAAGATATTGCTTCCATGAAATAACAGGGTGCTATAAAAAAGGAATAATCAGAAAAAAAAGTATTTAGAAATTAAAAATATAACAGCTGAAATAAAAATAATTTCTTTTAAGTATTAAGGTCAAAAAAATCTCCCAGAAAATAAAACAGCAATAGGACAATACAAGGAAGAAGAGAGAAAATTAGGAGATCTAGCCACGAAGGCTAATAATATTAATTCCAGAAGGAAAGGAAAAATGGTGGGAAAGAAATAAAGAAAATTTACCAAACTGAAGGGCATGATATAGATTTAAAAGGCCCACTGAGTACCCACTACAGTGAATGAAAAAAGACCCGCAACAATGTACCGTAGCATTGTAAAATTTCAGAACTCCAGGAAGCTTTTGGAATAGGAAAGAAAAAATGATATACACACAGGCTCAGAACTAAGAAAGGCACTGGTCTTCTCAAAGCAACACTGAAAACTGGCAGATAAAGAAGCACTACCTTAAAACATCTGAGGGAAAATGATTTTCACCATGAAGAATTAAGAATTTTCTTAAGACACGTAAAATCTCAAAATATATATCTTTTACTCACTTTTCTTTTTTAAACTCAAGTTTATTGGGGTGACAATTGTTAGTAAAGTTACTCTTTTTTAGAGAGTTGCTAGAAGATGTGCCCCACCAAAATAAGGTAATAAACCAAGAAAGAGAAAGACAAAGACTGGATTCCAGAAACAAAGATCTAATAAAAATGACTGGGGATTCCCAGGCTAGTATATGGCTTTTGTTTAACCTGACCTTCAGACAAGGGAATTTAAAAATATCTTCTACAAGTGTTTCAAGAAAGATGTGGTTGCAATTTCAAGATGGCTAAGTAAAAAAAGGTTTCCTTTTCTTCTTAAACAATCTCAAAACAATACAGAGAACTGTAATATTATGGATTCCACTATGTTATTTTCAGCAGGTCTAAAAGCCACTCAGAATGGAGCGGGAAGGGGGAATACTCCAGAAAGGACAAAACTGACAAACTGGCTCATGTAGAAAATCTCACCAAGAAGTTTATACAGATATTGGTGGGCATAGCAAAGAGCTGGTTATACGTTCAAAGAAAATAAAAAATTGAGACAATTATTAAACTCAGGTGAAAAAATGTATAAAACTAAGCAATAAACAATATGTGCTTAGTTCAGCAGTTAGTAATATTTACACAGTTTGGTTAAATCTAAACATTTGGTTATATATAGAATTAACCAAAAGATATAATTAAATTAGGAGTTGTGAGTGACCTAAAAATCTTTACTTACTTTAACAGGAAGTTGATAACATCTAATACATCAATGAATAAATATACACACAGATGCATATTATTCAGAAGCAGAGAGGTAAATAGCAGAAAACAACATACAAGTGTTGCCTCTGGGGCAGGATGAGGCAGAGGTAGGAGAGTGAATGATTTCATTTTGTTACATACTATTTCCATGTATGGCGAGGAAAAATATAAATATAAATTAAAAATCCAGATATTCTAAAGTAAAATCAAGTTTTTAGAGCTTGTTACAAAAATGAGATTCCAGTGCTTTAAACATTACTAAATACAAAAATAAACCAGTCTTTCAGATTTCAGTAAGGATACTGAAAAGGTCTGTATTCATGAAAATGAAAACAGGGAAGCTGTAAATTCTGACATCTTTAAAAAGGATGTGCCATTAACAGTTAAAATAAGCCTGGTGGAAGGTGTGTTAGTCTACAATGGAATACCTTATCATCGTGTTCATTTTCTTCTGTAGCTTCAGTGTTAGCCTGAAGTGAAGTCTGGACATCTACAGGTCCTGCTTCAAATTCTTCTATTTCTTCATCTTCATTCTCATCTTCTCCACTTCCATAATTAGTCAAAGCCTGAGTTTCAGCTTTGGACAAATCTAAGTTGATTAACACAATTTTTAGAATGTCAGCACTCGGTTGCTAATAATAGCTACAACTTATTGCATTCCTGTATTGCACAAGTGCTTTACATACAACATATGAAATCTTCAAAATAGCAAGTACTAGAAAAAACTGTGGTGCAGAAGGGACAAATAATTTAGTCAGGGTCACACTGGAATTCAAATCCAGAGTTGTCTCTGACACCTAATTCTATATTCATTATACTCCACCAAACTGTTTCAATAAAAGACCTATAAAATACTAATGTATAAACCTAGCATGGAGCCTTTAGACTTACTAATAGACACTGGACATTCTTCACTTTCTTCATCTTCCTCTTGATCAGAAACATCAGATCTCACATTTTTGGGACTCTCACCATCATACTCAGATGTCTGAGTCTGCTTAACTGTTTCAGTGCCATCCTTGTCCTAGCCACAAATAAAATTGAGTAATTAAAATGCGTTTTTAAAAGGC